GGCAAGAGAAGGTCCCGAGCTTGCTACATTTAGGGTTTAGGGGTTCAGGGTTTAGGGCTGAGATTACACGCATGATTATGTCAGCTAAGCCCCGAAACCCAAAGTCCCACCCTGAAAGCCCGAAACCCTAAACCCTTGCTGTGGCTTAAAAGTCTAGCAAACCTTTTTCCTAAACCCTGATATAATCCGAGTCTATTCCACGCATTCGCAACCAAGACCCTAGCACCTTCAACCCTTTTTAACAACTGCCCTGACGTCACGAACCCTAAAGCCCTATAAACCCGAAACCCAAAGCTTGACAGTAGAAGCGAAAAAGTTGGAAACCCAAAAGCCTCAATCCTTAAGAGTAATGTGTAGGGAACCCCAGCACGATGTGTCTTTGAAACGGCTTCCGACTTTATTGAAACTTTCTATAAACCGAAGCCTAAACCCTTGTACGTCAGGCTTGCATGTCGCGCCTGCCTATATTGAAGGCCCTGAGAGAGCGCCTAAACCCAAACCCTAAACTCTAAAACCGAGGAGCCCCGTAAACTCTAAACCCAAACCCCTAAACTCTAAACCCTAAACCCTAAAGGCCTAAACCCTAAACCCTAAACCCCAAACTCAGAAACTTTAAACCCCAAACCCTTTTTTTGCATCTGGTTTGCAACCCCAAACCCTAAACTCAGAAACCCTAAACCCTAAACCCCAAACCCTAAACCCTAAACCCTAAACTCAGAAACCCTAAACCCTAAACCCCAAACCCTAAACCCTAAACGCAGAAACCCTAAACCCTAAACTCAGAAACCCTACACCCTAAACCCTAAACTCTAAACCCTAAACCCTAAACTCAGAAACCCTAAACCCTCAACTCCAAAAGCAAGGAGCTCCCATGGCAGAGTTGGAGCTCCACTCCCTCTTCCGCCTGTGGGCCTCAGCCTTCTGCCATGGAATCATCGGCAGCCTGGGGCGTTTAGGGTTTAGGGTTTAAGGTTTAGGGTTTAGGGTTTAAGGTTTAAGGTTTAGGGTTTAGGGTTTAGGGTTTAGGGTTTAGGGTTAAAGGACAATAGAGGGACCCCTAGAAGGGACCCCTAATCCAAAGACCCATATAATATAACCTTTATATACCCCTTATATAGTCTCATGAAGCCCCTATATAACCCCAAGGGTCCGTTTAAGGGTCCCTCCTTTAGTCCCTTGAGGTTCGGTGCTCACACTCAGACTCTCCAGGCGAGGCATATGGTTCGAGGTCTGCAATGAAGTGAAATGGTTTAGGGTTTAGGGTTTAGGGTTTGTTTGGAGGGTCGGGGGACTTAGTAAATCTGCAATAAGTAAGACTTATAAGTACCGTAGTAGGGATCCTGATTGGGGTTATGATACTAATAACTGTATAAAGCAACTATTTACTAAACACCCCGACCCTCCCAGTATTCCATTGATATTTATGGTTCCTAGTATCATAACGGTTACTGCCATTATATCGTTCTTGCTACCGCAAATATTGCCATTGTTGCGAATATGCTTGTGATAAATACTTGTTATTATCCATGCTTTTGCTTGCGGGGTGTGTCATTACCCTCCATGTAGTTTTTGCGGAGGGAAACCTGAAGTAGCTTTGGTTCCATGAAGGTTCAGGGTTTAGAGATTCGGGCTTGGGGTAAAGGGTTGAAGGTTTAGGGCTTGCTTTTTGCTCCGTCTTGAGAGTGGACTATACTGACATTCAGTATAGAAACTTGGTTTCAAGTACAGCCCAGGCGCAGAGCCAGGGCAAGGAACGAAGTGCTGTAGGTAAGCACATAGGACCAAGCCACCGTCGATCGGAACTCGGGGGTGTCCAAGATGTAGTTCTCCAGGCTCGAGAGCTTCGGGTCGAAAAGCCCATAGACCTGGTTGCTGATGACAGTGGCAAAGGGCAAAGCGGATTGCTGCAGCGTGCCAATCAGGCCGTAGCAAAGACCTTCGCGGCCATGCTCGGTAAGCTCGATGATCATCAGGTTGGAAACCAACTGCAACATGGCGTTCGGAATGGAGCTGACAACGTCTTCGCCAAGGTAGAAGTATTGATTCCGCACCACATCGAAAGCAGCCAGAAATTGCGGGACTGCATCGAGCACATTCACTGAGACGATCGCGATGAAGATCGTCTTTCTCCAGCTCATCTGGAGAAAGGAGGTCTTGTACACGTAGGTGGCCGCCATCATGACCCCCATGCCAAGCATGCCAAACATCTGCTGCTGGAGAACCTTACTTCCCCAATAAGCCAAGGAAACAAAAGGCTAAACTTTCAGATTTACTACTAAATCATAAGAACCCAAAAAGTTTAAAGGCTTGATATTGGGGAATTAAGGAACTCTGACATGGGCCCACTGGCTCCGGACCATTGGCCCCGCTGTCGTCGTCAGGGAGACCAGAAACCTGGCTTTAGGGTTTCGACTCTCACACTCGCACAAGGCCGGCAAGGCTCCGCATAGTTCGGTCTTTAGGGTTTAGGGTTTAGGGTTTAACCAAGTCTGATGCAAGAACATGAAACAGCACTGCAGCGACCAAGTATCCCCATTGTGGTATCTGGAACTAAATGGAAAGCGATGTGTTCACTGTACATCCCTAGTATGCCTTAGTATGCTCACTTAAACTAAGTCTCTTATCAAGCACCGAGAAACTGGACGAAGAAGGCGAAGAACAGAAGGCTCGAGAGAGCTTTCTTCCTAAGTTCACCGGCAACGCACGCAAAGTAAGGGCACCCTTGTCCTACGGTTGATGATATAGATCCTGCATGACCCGTCATAAGGAATGTGCCATAATTCCTATGGTTTAGGGTCCTTAAGATAATGCAGGATTCATATCATCAACAGTATTAGTCAGTATTAGGAGAAAGCCCCCAAATCGAAGCGATGACCCAGGCTGACGGGCTCATTATGTGCTGAGAATCACCTTCGGCCTACATTATCAAAAGAAGAGACATGTTTCTTAAAGAGTAATATATGATTATATGAGCCCTAATCTTCAGAACAGGGTTTCGGGGTGCATGGTCGTGTCATTGGAGTAGGCACGATAAGGAGATCCTAGTGGACCAAGCGTATTTTTGTTTATCGCGCCTACTCCAATGATACGATCATGCACCCCGAAACCCTGTTCTACTATTGACAATACTTCCGACCAGGTCCATTGTCTCGACCTAGCTTCCCCCTAAACCCGAAACCACTTGTCCCCTGAACCACAAACCGCCAACCGCCCCTAAACTTAGAACCCCTTTTCAGGAACCCCTAAACTCTAAACCATAATAAAGCCTAAAACCCCAAACCCTCTTGAAACCGGACTTGATGACTGCCAGCACTGCCTCTTCTGCCGTTCTTCCGCGGAGGCCCGCAAATTTCAGCACACAATCACTCCACCCCCTAGGACTTGTACTCCACGTAACGAAACCCTACTTGGAGGTGCAGGGGACTTAGTAAGTAGGTTATAAGTAGTTAGAAGTACCCTAAATGGAGTGACCCCAATTATAACCCTACTTATAACCGACTTACTAAGTCCCCTGGGCCTCCAAGTAAACCCCAAACCCCTAAACCCTAAACCCTAATTATAGACCCCCTCAAAGGAACCCTTAAAAGACCCCTTTACACGGAACTCTTGTATACCCCTTATACAGTCTCATCAAGCCCCTATATTACCCCAAGGGTCCCTCCCCTGGGCCCTAAACCCTAAACCCTAAACCCTAAACCTAAACCCTAAACCCTAGACCCTAAACCCTAAACCCTAAACCCCCAAACCCCTAAACCCTAAACACCCAGACCAAGCTTCTGGACCAGGCCCCAAGAGCCCTTGATGTGGGCGCGGCTCGAAAGGCGTTGCGACGATCTCGGTGGCTCGTAGACGCAACATACCTTAGCGGCTTAGGGGCGTAGGGTTTAGGGTGCGCCCTAGCCCAAAACAGGGCTCAACATACCTTAGCGGCTTAGGGGCGTAGGGTTTAGGGTGCGCCCTAGCCCAAAACAGGTGCACATTTTCAAAGGCTCAACATACCTTAGCGGGTTAGGGGCTTAGGGTTTAGGGTGCGTCCTGGCCCAAAACAGGTGCACATTTCAAAGGCTCACCCTAAGCCCTGCATGTCAAAGCCTCTAAGATCCAAGATGCCGTCACTGGCACCATGCAGATGACTAAGACCAAGCAAACCGACATCAGGCCACTGAAGGACAAGCCCCAGTCAAAGGTGCCCAAGTAGGCCTTGGCAGGATGAAAAAAAGGTCCTCGAGAATTCGAAAAGGAATTTTTGGTATCTTACAGTAACGAGAATAAGAACCTTAATACATAAGAGTAACTACTGTATAATTCGAACCCTAATAGAGAAAGTAACGATAATGAAGCCCGATTGAAGACGAACGAGCAACTATAAACAGAACCCTGATAAATACTAGCAACTGTAAAAGAAATCCTAATACATACTAGTGACTGTAATAAGAACCCTAATGAATCATGGTAACTGTACTAAGGGCGCCAATAAATACACCCCTTGACGCCTGGGCTATGCAAAGGCCTAAACCCTAAACCCTAAACCCTAAACCGTGATGCTTCAGGCCTTGCTGTTCATGCAGATGCCAATGACCAAAGAGGAAGCCAAGCCACCGGCGGTGCCTTAGTGAGAACAAATGCAGCGCTTGGGTTCAGGGGGAGGGCTAGGGTCTAGGGTTCAGGGTTTAGGGTCTAGGGCTCATATTTTGAGTTTCAATTATATAGGCTTTCCAGGGATACACAAAAGTTACTCCTGCAATAGCAAGAATCCATTATCGACTTCGGCTCTGCCTTAGATTCGCCTTCCGGGATCTGTAGCAATCCAAAAAGATGCGCTGAGGGCCGTGCAAACCATGGCCATGTTGGCCTTGATATGCCCACGACGCTCAAGTGGCTCACGCTGGGAGTACTCCTTGCATATCCACTTTTTTGGGGTTGAGGGTTCAGGGATCCCTAAACCCTAATCCCTAAATCCAAAGGTCGGGGAGACTCATAATGTAGGGGCCTTAATAGTTGGAATTGGGTGCTGAGGTATACCATACCATGTTGAAAAAGAGGAACCACCAAAATCGTGTTGGTGATGATTTGTAGGCCCCTATAATAGTCTTATCTAAACCCCTCACTCCTCTGAGTCCTATGCTTTGGGCATTGCGCCCGTGCAGTAACAAGTCTTTAACAAGGCTACTAGTAGGGCTTAGGGTAACAAGTCTTTAGTAGGGCTACTATTAACTATTAGGGTTTAGGATTTGGGGTATAGCAGTCTTTAATAAGGCTACTATTAATGGCCTTCTATACCGACACAAAAATATGCTTTCAGTTGTTGTTACTGAGTGGCAGTATCCAACCTGCACTCCTGAACCCTAAATTACTAGATCTTAAGCTCCTAAAACCCTTGCTGTCTTAAATCCCAAGCCCATGAATCGCGCCTGTCCAAAACAGAACCCTTCTTACAAAAGGGGCTGAACACTGAAGGCGACACTCTGCAACGCTATGCTTAACTACTCAGGCCCATATGACTGATGCCACTCTAAAACTATCGGGTTTAGGGCTTCGGGTCCATATGGAACCTTACTTTAAAAAAAAAGAAACCCAAGCCCTAAACCCCAAACCCCAAACCCTAAACTCCTAAACAATAAACCCCTAAACCCCAAACCCTAAACCCCTAAACCCTAAACCCCTAAACGCCAAACACCTACATAAACTGGGACCACCCAGGCGGCCAGGAGTAGGGCCTGCCCATTCACGCTGCCCAACTGAAGACCTGCCGTCAGGATGAACATTGGGAAGATGTACCAATTCCTGGGACAGTGAGGGCTTTAGGTTCGAGGTTTAGGGTTTAGGGTTTAGGGTTTAGGGTTTAGGGTTTAGGGTTTAGGGTTTAGGGGTGCCAACTCAGAGGCTCTTGTCTCTGACAGCTTAGGGTCTAGAGGGTTAAGGCTCTAGGGGCTTACGATCGTTCTCTAGGGTCGCAAAAAACGCTTTATCGATAGGTTGCACGTGGAAGTACCAAGGCTTCATACTCGTTGATGGTAACAAAAAGAAAAAGAAAGCTTCGCATCTGAGACTTATCCGGCTACTTATCCCCGCAATCCCACATCCTGGTCCTAGCCCTAAACCCTAAACCCTAAACCCTAAACCCTAAACCCAAAACCCTAAACCCTAAACCCTAAATCCTAGCCCTAAGCCCTTAGACCCTAAGCTTGATCTCAGGATCTTCTCGTCCTGAATCTGAGGGTTGCATGGAGGCACGTCCCAGTTGTACTCGCCGTTCTCGTATTGGCAGTACATCGGGGGAGGTTGCGGTTTCCTGGGCTGTTGGAGGTTTAGGGTTTAGGGTTTAGGGGACAGTAGATGACACTTCTTGTCTCAAAAGCATAAACTGCACTAAAGTACGCCAAAAACCTCTCCAGCAAAGCCTCTTATGTGCACCACCAGACCATTATTACATGTCCGTAGAAGCATACATTGTATTTACCAGCCTCTTCAGGCTTTCCTATCATGACGACAAGCCGACTTTGTAAACCATACTATAACCCTAAACCTAAAGCCCTGAAGCCCCTAAACAGGCAGGGCCTAGCTTCAGACTCATGGCCAGGAGGGCCGCTGCCGAGATGGTCCAGGAGACCAAAAGCCAGGATTTCCTGTTCTTGCCACCTAAGTGGGTAGTTGTCAAAATCATGGTCCCTTTTGGGGTACCCTAAATAATAGGTGCCGTATTATAATAAGGACCCAAAAAGCATAAACTTGACAACCACCCAAGTGAAGGGGTTTAGGGTTTTTTTAAGTGCAATAGCCTTTTCTGTGCGAAGGGTTTAGGGCTTAGGATTTCCTGTTCTTGCCACCTAAGTGAAGGCTCCGGGGGTTTCATAGGGCTTTGGGTTTAGGGTTTAGGGTTTGAGGGGCTTTTAGGGCTGGAGGTCGGGTTTAGGGTTTTAGGTTTTAGGTTTTAGGGACTAGGGCTGGAGGGTTTAGGGCTGTAGGGTCTGGTGTTATGAGTGGAACTGCCTTGCAAGCTCTGGAATCAGGGAAATAAAAACTTTGTGAGAAAAGTGTGAGCTTGAGTGTG